CAACAGAGGGATGCTTTTGGAAGCCCTTGTCAAGAAATTCCAATGGACTCTCATGTGAACATTTAAAAATTGCCATGTTCTGACTTTTTTCTAGTTCCCTGTCTAGAACTTGTAATGCTAATTACTCTTGGCTTTACTTCTCCTTCACATCTCCTATTCACAATTCAAGGACTTTCTTTTCTTCCTCGAGATAAGGGTTATGCAATTTGGGAGTCTTTTAGATAGACCCACTAAAGGGGTCCTCCAGTTGTCTCACCCTGCATCCCTGTTTAGCATGGAAGAAGCTAGAGTGGTCTGCGTCCTGATTCCCTATTGGCAGTTTGGGTAACCTCTTCAGAGGATGGTGTGACAAGAATAGGAGGTAGGAATTGGCTAGGCAGTTAGGGTAAAAAGACCCCAAAGAAAAGTAGTCAGTTTCTTGGCTAAAACTCACAATGTCCTTGGGCCTCTTAGCAACCTACTCAGTTCCAAAGGCCAAAAATGTCAAAAATATTTGGGAGCTTTTATCTAATCCTTAAAAGATTTTAGGGTTACCTCTTCAGAAGGGGGAATGCTGCCAGGCGTGGTGGCGCACCCCTTTAGTCCCAGCACTTGGGAGGCAGAGGCAGGCGGATCGCTGTGAATTCAAAGCCAGCCTGGTCTACATAGTGAGTTCAGGTCAGCTGGGACTACAGGGAGACCCTGTCTCAAAAAGACAAAAAAAATAAAAGGGGATGTTAGAGTAGCCAAAAGTCCCATAAAAAATAAAGAAAGAAGAAGAAAGAGTACATGAAGTTATCAGAAAAAAGTGATGGGGAGATATGGGAGGAGTTGGAGGGAAAGGAGTGGGCATGGATTTGATCAAAACACCTTATATGCATGTATGAAATTCTCAATGTGGTGGCACACGCCTTTAATCCCAGCACTCGGGAGGCAGAGGCAGGTGGATCTCTGTGAGTTCAAGGTGGGCCTGGTCTATGTAGTGAATCCAGGCCAGCTGGGGCTACAGGGAGACCCTGTCTCAAAAAAAAAACCAAAAACCAAAAAATCACAGTATATTGGAATCTAAACTCCTGGTATTTATGAATGAGATCTTATTTGCAAATAGGGTCTTTATAAATGGGATCAAGGTCAGAGGAAGTCATACTAGATTAGAGTGGAACTTAATTCCAGAGACTTGTGTCCTTATAAAGTGAGAGAGATGTAAAGATGAGATACACACTAAGGGAGGAAGGTCATGTGAAGATGGCGACAGAGACTGGAGTGATGTAACTCAAGGGCAAAAAGTAGAGAGAGTCTAGGAAGAAGCAAGGAGGCATCCTTGCATTAGAAGACCAAATATAAAAAGTTTCTTCCTCAGGGCTGTCAGCACTCCAGAACTGGGAAAGTACATTTCTGTTGTTTTAAGCTACCTTGCTTCTGGTAATTTGTTATAGTGGCCACAGGAAAGTCATACAGAACCCCAGGCCCTGGGTGTGCTCATAGTTCAGCATTCTACAGGGACAAATGAGTGGAGCCACAGCTGCTTCTGCCTCCTGTGCCCAGTGTGTAGCTGCAGAGCCCCTGTGTCTACCAGGGACTGCCCCCAAAGAGAGCACAGGCTTCTAGGAAGGAAGGAGGCTACCCTCCTACCTCTGTTTCCATGTTGGAAATTCTTTCTATGTTTCTCAGGGAATTTATGTTTCTTGAATTCTAAAAAAATGTAAGTTGAGAAAAGGGGAAACAGTGTAAGTATCTTGTGAGAATTAAAGCTTAGTATGTACTTTCAGACCTTGGAGTTCTGAAGGAATCTGGTAACACTGAGTCGAGAGCCAGGACAGAGAAGACACAGGAGCAGAGTCCAGAGTCATGGTCACCATTCCTAAAGGCTGCCCAGGAGAAGCTGGAGAGGTGGCCATAAATAGTTTCCCCTGGTGTCATGGCTACATGGAGAATCCTGTTCATGACCTGACTGTTGTTACTTTGGGTTAATCTTTAATGCAATTAACATACCTCTACTAAGTTTATAGACCCTTTAAATGGTTTTCCAAAAAACCAAGTTTAGAAGCCAAGCAAGTCCTTGTGTGGCAATTTGACACATGGTTCTGAGATGATGTTTTTCTTGCCAGGAAACCCAGATGTTAGGGTTTCACTCACACTCTGGTGTTCCTGGTGCTTCGATCTTCCCTATAGACCGATCTTTGTAAATACAACTAGGCTAAATTTTTCTTGATTATTAAACGTCTTTCTAATAACAAGAGAATGTGAGATGTTGGGAGTGTTTTAAAGATAACATGATTTCAAGTGTTCTAAAAAAAAAGTTTGGTTCTTATATAGCCCAGCCTTGCCTTGAACTTGCTATGTAGTCAGGGGTGAACTTGAACTGATGCTCCTGCCTCCTCCTCCCAAATGTTTAGATTATAAGTGTGAGCCACCATGCCAGGATATTCCCATTACTTTTTAGAAATAGATATATCAGAGCTGGGGAGATGGTCCAATGAGGGCTTGTCTTGCAAGTATGAGGGCCTGAGTTCAAACCACCAGAACACATGTAGATACTGGATACTAGAGAGAGCATCTGTGATCCCAGAGGACTCCTATAGGGAGATGAGAGGGGGAGACAGGAGAACCCCCAGAATCTCAAAGGCTGCTAGCCTCGAGTATACAATGGACAAATGACAAAAAGACTCCTTATCAAACAAGATGGAAAACAAGGACTTCCACATAAATATGTGCACACATGATCTCTCTCTCTCTCTCTCTCTCTCTCTCTCTCTCTCTCCTCTCTCAACTCTGGGAATGGTAGGGCATGCCTATAATCTTAGGACAGAAGCAGGAGGATTTCAATGTCAGCCTAGAACCACTCAATCCAAATGTGGATGTAGCTCTGCCACCAGCCATGTGACCTTGGAGAAGTCACCTACTCTTTAGAACTTCCACTTCTTCCGATAGGCTGGGAAGAAGGACTCGTCTGGAAAAAAAATCTAGTTATGTCTTTTAATAAACATTCACGCTGCTTCATATTGGCTCCGATCCTCCTGCCTCAGCTTCACGAGCTGATAGGATTACAGGCCTGTACCACCAGGCTTGATTTTAGTGAATTCTTTTAGTTTGGTATGTATCCACCTAGGATAGAATTAGGGTCTGATAGAAGGAAGAAGGAGAGAAGTAATCAGGTGGCCGGGGAAGTTGGCTAAAGTAGTTGCTTGGAGTCTTGTCTGAGAACACCCTGTCCAGCAAGCCACTGGGCTCTTTCCTCTCTTTGGGCCCATGTTCTAGTGGTTAGTCATAGTAGAGAAGATCAAGTTTGGATTTGCTACTGAGTTGTAGGTTTCTGGGGACTTCAGAAGCTGAGAAGGAAGATGAAGGATATTCTGGCCATACACATCCTTCATAGGTGAATCTTTGGGTTCTCTTTTCTTACTGGAGGCTCTACTCAGAATTGTGAGGTACAGGGGCACAGGGCTAGAGGGAAAAGAGTGTGTCTGGCTTGAGAGGGAGGCTGGATACTGTTCCTACAACTGACTTGGAGTCCCCAGCTAGGTGATGGCATCTTCTGACACATCTTACCTCTCCCCACAAAGATACTATGGAGCCCACAGCTTCCTCCACTAGAGCCTTTGACTACTCATCCTCCTGTCTGGGCCTCACTGGGACAGACACTTGCTAATGGTCTCAAGGAGTGTAAGCTTATATTGCTTCTAACAGTTTTCTTTAGAGTGAGGAAGTCTGACCCACAGCATCAGCATCACCTGGGGGTTTGCCAGAAATACAAATTCCTAGTCCCCACCCCAGGCCTGTGGAACAGAAACTTAAGGAGGGCCCAGCAGCTTGTTTTAACAAGCCTTGGAGGTGATGTGACTGCCCTAGGTTAAAGGGCCCCTGATGTACGATGCTTGGAGTGATCTTCCTGGCTCTGACTCTCAAGTGCTCAAGTGCTGAGCAGGATTACAGATATGTGTCACCACACTCAGCTAAGATGGAAATGGATACATGGCCTGGCCTCAAACTCCAGATCCTCCTGCTGAGGGGAACATGGTAAAGGGCAGCAACCACCAGGGAGGGGAACACAAAGGCCTATCTGTGCTTCAGTCCAGGCCAGAGATGCCCACTTCGAGAACTGTGGCTTTCTTCCCTTTGTTTTTCTCCCACCAATGAGTTAACAGTGAGATGGCAAAAGAAAAGGTGTGGGCAGCTTATTTTGGAGACACAGGGCAGGGGACAGCAGAGATGATCGCATCCTCCTCTGCATCTAGTCCCCAGAGAAGCAGACACCCAAGAGGCTGAGGGGGTGGAGGCAGCTGGGATGAGCCAGCGATGGGGAGGACTGAGGCACTGCGGGGGCAAGAGAACCAGCCCAGATGGAGAAGTAAGCGGGGGCCTCGCTGGCCAGAGCCCAGAGAGGTCCCTGACTCTGGTTCTCAGACAACAGGGCTCTGAGTGGAATGTGCCATCTTGGGTTAGGTGGGGCCTGAGGCAGGTAAGTTTTGGGGCAACAAAGAAAACAAGTTGAATCAGCAGCAGAAAGTTTTTATCAGAAAACTAAGCCTCTGCAGTGTAGGGCTGTTTGACTTTATTTAGAAATAAGCCAGCAATCTTTCATTAGCACTTACACAGAGGTGGCCCCTGACAATCAGACGTCACTTACACAGCACTCATAAAAGTCACACCCAAAAGGCACACAGCATAGATGTCACTCTCTGGGTAACACATGAGCCCAGGGTAGCCCTATAGAAATACACGTCTCACTGCACGAATCTCCCTTTAAAAATCAATCACCAGGTCAGAGAAGAATCAATGATTCTGCCTGTGAAGAGGGTGCAGACAGAACTTGTCACCCAGGCAGTGGTATGAAGGCTACCCCAGCATGGTGACCAAGAGTCCTCAGTATGACATGCTCTGGTGGGGCAACTGCCACCAGGGCCTCCCTGGGTGCCCACTGGTGGGGGCGAGCCACTGGAAACTGGCCTGTCATCAGAATTCCAAGTCCCCCACACATCAGGACACAAATAGCTCCAGGCCCACGCGGCCCCCAGTCTGCTGACGGGCTGCTTGCTCCTATTTCTTCTCTTTCTTTTTCTTTATTATTTTCAGAGGAACAAAATTTGGAGTAAGAGCTGGCAGTTTTGGAAACTTTCTGGCTCTTCAGAGAACAGTGGCAAAATGGGGTGGAGAGGGTATTCCCCAGGCTTTCTGTGGACTCTGACAGGGGGCAGGAAGCAGTGACCCTTCCACTGGTCTAGTCCTTAGGGCCAGTAGGTGCAGGGGTCAGGGAGGAAGATAGGACTTCTCCCAATACCCTGGGCCTGTGGCATGTCCTCAGGCCCAGCTCATCAGTGGGCCTCTTGCTGCTCTGATCCTAGGCAACTACCTCCTGCTCCTTCAGACTGACAGGTGTCAGGGAGTAGGTTTGGGGGGTGGGGGTGGGGACTTGTGAGGCTGGAAAGAAGATAATGTTGAGACAGAACCCAAAGGAGGAAAGGAAAGTGAATTCCAGCTGAGCCACTCACTGTAGAGTGAAATTCAGGCAAGGCAGGACACATCCTTCAAACAGGGCTGTTAGGCAGGATCGTCCACACCCGGCATCACTAACATTCCTACTGAGATGCGTTTCCCTCCTTTGAGGGTTTCTGGAGGATTTTATCTGTACAGTCCATGCCTGGCAGAATCTGCTGTTCAGTGGGTTGGGGGGCCTTGGAGCCACAGAAGACAAGGACAAAGGCTGCGGTGCTCAACAGCCCTATCGCCTCTGAGGGCTTGGGCCTGAGCTTTGGATGAGCGTCCTCAGCAGAGGTGGGAGAGAGCGTGTGGCTGAGGCCCTCTGGGGAGGCAGTGGACGCCTGCCTGAGCACCTCCCCAGGAAGCCTGCACAGAGGCCGGTGTGGGAAGCCGCTTTATGGTTGCTCTGGCAACCGGCCTCTTTCTCCAGCTAGCCTAGAGGCTCCAGGTGGGAGGCACAGGTTCCCTGGCAGCGCCGCCAGTGTGGGCGATGTGACTGGGCCGAGTGCCAGCCGCCTCAGGTACCCAGGGCGCAGGCAGGTGGGGTGACTTGGCTTTAACAATCATCTTGATTCCAGAAACTTTTCTTTGGGTTAGAATCACACATCCTGGGGGCTGGACGCGTGGTCCTCGCAGATCCTCTCCCGTCCCGCGCCCTCAGCAGCGTTAGCCCATCTCCTAAGGGCCCGGCTTCATCTGTGGTACTCCGCAGGGTTCCATTCCGAGGGCTCCAGCCTGCAGCCGCCGCTCAAAGGGCCCGCGGGAGGAGGCCCGCAGCCAGGGCCAGCAGGAGCAGTAGCAGCAGGGGCACCCGGGGCACCACGGCGGCTGCGGGGGAAGGCAGGTAGTTAAGGCTGACAGCACCAGGCCCGTGGGTGGCCGGCTTGGTGCTCAAGCACAGGACTGCAGGCAGGGCTATTTCTGTGCGCTCGCTAGCTCCAGCCTCCTCTTCTCCCCCTTGACAGTCTTCCCCGGTTTCTTTACATATTCATTCCTTTCCAGATTACACCACATGAATATTTATGTCGTTACCTCAAATCCTCGGTGGACTATCAGTTTCAGTATTTATGTTCATTATCCTGGTCTATTTGGGTGACAGGGTCAGTGTTCCTGCCTAAATGATCGGTAGCTTCCCTGTCTGGACCTTCCCAGAACACTTCACCTTAACAGTATGTCAAGTAGGGGCCTAGGCTCTGACCCACCCAGGCTCGACTACCCTCCAACTTTCCCAAGGCTTTGGGTCAAAAACATTTGAATGATGCCAGGGGGAAATAGCAGGGGGTATCACAGCCAACTGCCCAGCAGGCTGGATGCTCTCTGTGTACCTGAGCACTGCTGAGACAACAGTCCCTCCAGAGCTGCCACGTAGTCAGGCCCCAGCCAGTCTAGGTATGTGGTTTTCTCCCCAACAGGCACTGCCCGAATTGTAGCATCTTTGAAAAGCAGGTCTTGGCTGTGGTATTTGGAGGAGTCGAACATTTGGAACCCATTCTTGTTGTGATCATCTCCAAAGAGGTCCTGGAAGCCCCAAATGCAGCTGATTACATCTGGGCTTACAGTCAGTCACAGGGGACCAAAGGAGCAAGTATTTCAGGGTACGAAGACTTTCATTTGAAGTCACCCACTTAACCACTGATGGCCCTTTGTCACACAATGGGTTTGGGGAAAGATATGTACAGAGGCACCACCCAAAGCTAGCCAGAAATGTCACCTCAGAGCAGTTCTTGAATGCAGAACCAAAGTGTGAGATTTACAGAAAGAAGGATTCAGAAGTCAGAGACGCTGCAGATGCAGTTACTACAAGCTGAACTAGGCCTGCTCAGCACTTATCAACTTTGTAAACAATGCTCTCTTATGGGCATCCTTTCCAACAAGACAAAGCAACCACAGAGAGAGTCTTTTGTTCTGTCACCAGGAAGAAGAAAGTAGTAGGTGAGCTGAAGAAGGCATCACTAAGCCCCTCCAAGTTTCCCTGGATACAGCTGTACTTGCTTCCCTGCTGGGAATCCTTGTGTTGAATATGCCCCAAAGAGCTAGGAAAAAGAAAGAATGAGAAGTTAGGCATGGCCGTAAGAAGTTATGTATGCTTGTAATCCCAGCTCTTGGGAAGCTGAGGCAGAAGAATTGAGAGTTTGAGGCCAGCCTTGGATACAGATAATGGAACAGGGGGCATCTAGAGCCTGGGGTACAGATAACTGAGCAGAGGGCATCTAGAGACTGGGATACAGATAACTGAGCAGAGGGTGTCTAGAGAACATGCATAATGTCTGACCACTCTTAAGCAGTGGTAAAGGGGCAAGGACAAAATGGCCATGACTGCTGAGTCTTTTTGGAGGGGGCTTGTAAATTCTCTTGATGCTATTAGCCTTCTTGGAAAAATGTACACCTACATGGTATTCTTCCCAGCATGACTTGAGAGGGTTCTGGGGAGCTCTGGGGAAGCCCAGGGCTTGAAGGATTGCTCCTGGGACAGGGGAACCCAGATGAGAAGATGAGAAGCATACACGTAATTTCAAAGTTTAGGAACAGTCCTGGAGAGCCAGTAGCTCTACAATTCTATGGTGCTGGTGGCTGAAGGAGGGAAATTCCAGCCTAATCAGTGGAGGGGGAAGAGGGGCTGGGAACAAGGGCTCATCAGATAGTCTGGGTTCAAATTCCACATGTATTTTGGAAGCCAATGGGACTTACTGATGGATTTGATGATGCACATTAGTCAGAGAGGACTCTTGGGGAAACAGAGTGGCTGCCATTTGTAATTAACTGACATGGGACCAGGGGAGGGGGAGATGGTTCAAACTTGGTCAGTTGAGATGCCTCTTGCAAACAAATGGAAATGTCAAGTGGACAGGTTAACGATGTCCAGATACATCATTAAAGAATGGGACTGAAATCAAAGTAAAGGCAAATTAGGAGGAAGGAGTGGTGGCCAGTGCTGCTGAGAGGTATAACGAGTGGTCCCTGGATTCTACAACATGGGTCACTGTGCCTTTGACAAGAGCAGTTTTAGAGACCTGGTAAGGACTGTCTGGAATAGCTCCACCCTTAAGAGGGACCAGCAAGAGGAACTGATGATGCTAGAGTAGAAATAGACTCTGGGAGGGGTTTTGCTCTCAAAAGGAGTGAGGGACCGCCCACCTAGCTTGCATGAAACTCTGAACTCCAGTATCACAGAACAGTAACAGCAGCAAGCAGTGAAGATGTTAGGCCAAGAGGGCTAGATTTTTTTTTTTTTGTAGATGGTAGAAAACAATGTGTTTGTACTTTGGTGAGAAGAGTCCATTTGAGAAGGAAAATTAATGATGCAGGAGACAGCGGGAATAGCTGCTAGACAGATGTCAAGGCTGGAGTGAAAAATCACTGAATTGCCCCTCAGTCTGCTGTTCTGCCCCCTGGTCTGCTCCAGATAGGCAGAAGCATCCTGGCTCACCACTCTATCCACCCCTCCTGAGGTCACTGTCCTGCTCACCTGGGCCTTGTCCAGCAGTCCATACACAGTGAAGATGTTGGTATCTGGACGGACCATGACAGCATGGGATGGCATCTGTGCCAGGTTGCAGGCTTCAAACTGGCCCACTTCAGCCCGTGCCCCATTGGGACACAGGAGCTCATAGTCCTGCCACCGGAGCTGGGCAGCCCAGGGCTCAGGATTGTGGCCTGAGGGGACAGAAAGGGGTGAAGAGAAATGTGAGATCCAAGGGACCCCTTATTGGAGGAGGAGTCAATACCTCCTTGGGCAGCTGTTTTAATGTTCTGCTCTGTTCTAGGAGTGATATAACACAGGTGGGGTGGGGATTATCACCTCCATTTTACAGATGAGGAAACTAGGGTTCTTTTGTTCATTCATTTGTTTGTTTGTTCGTTTGGAGACAGAGTCTTGCAACATAACCCAGGTTGGCCTCGAATTCATGATCCTCCTGTGTCAGCCTCCAGAGTGCTGGGATTACCACACTTCTCTTCCCCAGCAAGAAATCCTATCTGTGGTCTGTACACTTTGTCCTGGGCATGGGGTGACCGCTAAAAAGTGTTCTCAGACTGGAGAGGGTATAGCCCCACCTGTGGGCATAAGACATGGTCCAAACTAGCACCCATGATGCTGAAGCAGGTGGTGGGTCTCAGAGTTTCTTGGGAATCGCATTGTTTTTGCCTTTAGATGTCCACTTAGCATCCATCCTCCTCCCCTTTCCAGAAGGAACATGAGGTGGATTCCAAGTAGGGCTAAAGATAAGAGGGAAATGAATGCCCTGGGAGGCAGGTTCTTCATACAGCTCAGTCTCCCACAGCCTCTCCAGTACACTGCTGGGTCTGGAACCAGGTGGGACTGGAGGGCTGATTCTGGGAGCCAAGCTCCCTCCCCTGGAGGATGGGCCCTGGTGCTCTGGGTGGGAGGTTGGGCAGGGGACCAGGACTACAGTTCTCTCCAGCTCTGTTTATGTAGAGTCCCTCTACCTCTGCATGTCTTGTTTTTTTGAGCCACAACTGTGCCCTTCTGCGCTGTGTCTCTGGGAATAGAGTTATGATAGGGTGAACATGACTGAGCTTGGTTTTTGGAGTTTCAAAGCCTGGGGTACAGTAGTGTAGGAAGAAAGTGCAATCACTAAAGGCTGTGGTCACAGACTCCAGCCTTTAACACAGACAGCTTTCGCACCTGAGTGGGGAGTGATGCGACTAAGAGACCCTGCACTTCGACAAGATCTCAGATTTTGGGGTCTAGGGCTGACTGTCTGGGCTTTTCTTCCCAGATGGAGACTGGGAAGGTGACTGAGAGAACAAAATGCTTGCATGATGAACCTGCAGTGGGCCTTTTTTGGTGTGATGTGGGAGCTGCACAGTGACTTCCCTGCACAGGGCATTGATCTGCTCATGACCAGTGATCAGATGCTGCAGTGAACTGAGAACTGTGTGGAGAGGCCTCGCAACCCCGACCTATAAGCCCCATCACTGATGAATACCTCAGAAGGATCTCCAAATTGACCAAGATGCAGCCACTATGTGGAATATGGACTTGAATTTCAGGCTAGTGGAGACCATGTGTCCTGAATGTGTGGCCTGAGGTCTGCTCTTATCTTGTGGCTCTTAGGGCCCCTGAACTCCTGGGGGCACAGCCTTCTAAACTATCTCTCATGACTGCTGCTCAGCCTCCAAACCCAACAATCCCTGGTGCCTGGATTGTTCTGGGGACAGCGAACAGCCCTCCCACCTTTCCCTGTTCTGGCCCAAGCCCCTCCATATACCATTGGTGTTCTCAAAGACAGTCGTGTGTTTGACGAAGGCCACGTCCCCTGCCTTCTCCACCAGGCACCTGTCACACAAGAGGGCGGGGCAGATGTAAGAAGGAGGGTACTGCTGCTATGCCAGGCCAGAAGACACCCCTGCCTCATGACTGCCACCAATTACCTGAAGGCTCCGCTGTAGCCGTAGTACCTCTCCTGGCTGCTTCCCACACACTTGTTGCGGCCCAGCTCATCTCCCACACAGAGCGTGCACAGAGAGGAAGGGTAGTTTTGGGGGTTGTTTACAGGTACACAGCTGGCATTGAAGAACTCGCTCACCGCTGGGGCAGAAGGAAAAGGGCATGATGAGGGGCCACAGGAGAAAGACAGCTAGGGAGGACATGGGCAGGCTGCATCTCCATCCCTCAATCTGCCCACCAGCCTTGGCTTGAACTCCCTCAAGGACAGGGAACTCACTATCTCATGAGCTATTGAGCTACCAGAGCAACTGCTGCCACCCCTAGTGCCCTCCACGTGCTTCTTGGTGAGAAAACTATTTATTTTCTCTGATTTTTAGTCAGAATAGAGATGTGTGTCAGTTGGCCCAAGGACCTTGCTGGTTTTGGACTGTGAGAAATGGGATGAGCTTCACACATGCATGTGGTGGGAAGTTGGCAAATGTTTCTTCTTCTGACCCCATCCTAGCACTTAGATACTTGGGCACAAAGTGAGTGCCTGGTCACTTTCCAAGGTCTTCAGATGCCTGGGGCTGTAGATTCCATTCTGAGTGACTGGACACCCTGGCTCCCTGCATGGATTCCCCCAGAGACACCCTGCAACTATGGGACCCACATCTTCCAGCCTTCCCAGAGCCTGGGTCATATCAAGAACAGGGAACTGGTTGGGGTTGTCTTGCAAGGCCCCTGACCCTCAGAGCCAAACCCCAAAGAGCTTCAGGGTCTATGTCCCTGGTGCTACCTGTGAGGACGTCACAGTCCTTGGGCCGGATGAAGCCCCTCTGGATGAGGGTGCCCACAGGCACATCCCAGCCCGCAGGGCTGCCGAAGCCTGGGTGGCAGGAATGCTTGCCACGGAGCTCATCCAGAGTGAAGGCATAGGAGCTGTCCCGCCTCACTACAGCCACCATGAAGTAGGAGTTGCTCATGTCCTCCTCTGTGGGGAGAAGGACATCTTAAAAGGGGTCACTTGGTTCCTTGTATACCCTAGGGGATAAAGTGAAAGAAGGAGCTCAAGAGAGGTAGGACCGTAGGAGAAGGATATTATTAAGGGAGAAAGGGGGAAAATGGGGAAACCATGACGGAGGGGTGAAACAATGTAAGCGATAAATAATGCCTAGCTAGTTTTAAAAACCAGAGGGAACCATATTACTCCAACAACCTACTGACAAATTATACATACCAGAAATATATGTCTAGGTAAGGTTTATCTGAGAACAATTGGTCTTTGCCCAAGATTTATCTACATGACACACAGTAATTAAAATACCAGACTGGTGGAACTAACCTTCTTGGATGTTTAGCAGACATACTTTGAGGCCTATAATAATTTGGTCAGAGGGACATAAAGGGCAGTTTTTTTCTCCTTGCCCTCCTAGGTTGACTAGTTCCAGAGGAACTATGAGCATCTCTCAAAATGTCCTATAACGGTGGTGCATCACCTGTCCTCCTGATCAAGCAGGCCATGGAGAACCCACCAAATGGATTTGAACCAGTGTCCAGTCTACAAACAGGTGGGTCAACTAGAGGAAATGTTTCCTCCATACTTCCAGGTGAAGCCAGCCATGGCTGAGTAGGACCTTTGACTTATCTTCACATAGATGTAACTGGTAAAAGAATGGAGATGGATCTCCTCACAAGCCATGTGACCCCTGAGGAACAGATCCTCAAATGACCTTAAGAGTAAAAATAAATTGGTTTATCTGGGCCAACTGTGTGGTCTTAAACACCCAAAAGGAAAATATAACCAAAGATTAAAGGGATCAATATAATTCTTTAAGAGTCCATGTGTATAGCTAAAAGCTACATAA